ACAATACATTAATTATTAAGTTTAATACCCTACATGAACGACCGACTCTTAATATTTTTTTTATTGTGGAGCTATGCCATTGATATTTTATTTTCCTTGTTTGCTTCACATAATGCCTGCTTAAGTAAAACTTGAGCTGCGTGCCACTTGGTGAAGTGTGGATATATGATTATAAATCGATAAAAAAAAGAAGAAGAAGAAAAAAACCACTTGTTGACCAAGAGATGGTTGTGGTGGTGCTCCGAACATCGAGTTTGTGTGTTTGGTTATATGTGTTGGTGGAACCACTGCTTAATTTATTAGTTGTGAATCATATGGCCGCATTCTGTGTCCTCTTCTGCTCTCTATCTTGAAGCTTTCCGTAGAAAAGCCTTCACATTGTGTGTTTCAGGTTTACCTTGTTTTTTTCTTTGTACTTATTTTTTCGCAAAGGAACCTTTCAGCATAAATTTTACAGCGTTTTCTTTCAAGAAGATTATATTTTATGTGTTGCTCATGGAGGCTTGCCTCAGGTTTTCTTTCTAACAATAAACCAAGCGTAGTCTTGAGGCTTCTAGCTCTAGTGATGGAGCAGTTCCTCATATCCATGGTAAGATTTTGAATCTTGTCATCTCCTCTCCAAAATTCGAAAAAGGAACGAATGATAGTCGTACATTTGAATTTGGACCCTTGTTTGGATACGGATAATGTTAAGATCAATCGCTCACACGCGTGTAATCAAATTCTGATCATTGATGCATTATAAACTTTATATACAATAATATTCAGGTGACATGACTGACTGAATCACAACCTATTTAATCTTTTAATAGGTTCTGAGGTGCAAAATTGAATTTTAATTTTGGACATTCAACTTTTTATATTCATAGATTATGAACATATGCATAAGTACATTTACATAACCACAAACCAATGGTGTTAAACTTGACCATCTCTCCATCATTTTAGTAATTCCGGGTTGGCATCAAAACTTATTATAAGAATAATCAAATTAATTAACTTTTCTGCCTGCCGGACTAATTGGTACACAAAGAAAATGAGTGGTCGAAACATTTTTTTTTTTAATTATAAAATTTTCAGTGCGCACCCGCACCAGGCATCAACTTTATGAACCTTGACATGGCCATGAATTTTGCAGAGTTTCTAAATTTTAACCCATGAATGAAGGTGAATCATGAAATAGGCCAAGATCTAAGTAGTACAACTGTTAGGCCCCAACCAAAAATATGTTTTGTTCAATCATCTCCACTACGTGATGTTAAATTAGAATGTTTTTGCCTCTTAAACTTTGCTTTACAAGAAGCAAATATTTTTATTTATTTTTAATACACAAGTGATATAAAGTGAGAGAAACATAGGACCTCGAATGCAGGTTTTTTTGGTTGATATTCAACCCTATAAAGGTTACTTTTACACTTTCTCATATATCCAAGGGCTCTATAGCAAAATACAATAAAAGATAAATCCAAAGTTCTCTAATTAAGGAAATATTTAGTTATTAATCACAAAATATCCAAACAACAGCAGAAAGGAATAGGAGGCAGCAGCAACAAGTGTATAAATAGGTAAAGACATCAAAGCTAAGGTGCTCCAAGAGTCTCGAGAAATAACGGCTAATTTGCAGAGAGTTAGCCTAAAGTTAGCAGCCAAGGTGTGTGTATGTTCAAGGTACGTATAGCAAAACCACAAGTTGAAATTCAATCACTGATCAAATCCATAGAAGAAAATTACAGTTGGATATAAAAACTACTAAAATATTTCTGTTTGATTTGCATGTCAGGGTAGACAAAGCAATAGCAATAATGGCCCTTAGAATTTGCTTCTTGTTCCTTGTGATAGCTTTGCTGCTTGCAATTAGCACTTCAACTTGTGTCCAAAACGGTATGATATCTCTCTCTTTCCCTCTAACTTCTTGGGCATTTAGATTATGTTTTCTGACACATAACTCCCTATTTGTGAACTTGAATGTTCTCTCTCTCTCTCTCTCTCTCTCTCTCTCTCTCTCTCTCTCTTTTCTAGTTCGGTTTCTGCTATCGATAATGGTAGCTTTTCCTTCTGTATTCAACAATTGTTGCCCATGAGATTTGAACTCACGACCTCTTCCAATTGTCATCGTTTACAATTTTTACAAGTGACAGAACAAACAAAGGAGCTAAGCTCTTTTTCTTTAAGATGCATGCATTCTTGCCATAGGTTTTCTCTATTTACTACATGGTAATTATGTTTGCTATCTTATCTGCGTTGCCATGAAAACCAGAAGCACCAATCGAACTATTTTTTCTTCTTCTTCTTTTTCTTAATTGCTGAATTAAGCATAGTTCGTGTCATATTATTTAATAATTTTTGTTTATGTGCTTGAAATTTATGTACCTGCGGACCTGAGTTCAGTTTCATTTAGTTACTCTGGCGCAACTGGCCCAGAAAAATGGGGAAGCTTGAGCCCAAATTTCTCGGCATGCTCAAATGGGAAGATACAATCTCCTGTGGACATCGTGAAGGGCATACTTACCCCTAGCAAGAGATTAAAGCCATTAACCAGAGTCTACGGTGCTTCAAATGCCACTTTGTTTAACAACGGCTTTAACCTTGGGGTTTGTTCTTCAACTTCTTCCACACTGACACTACGCATCTTTTCATGTTCTTCTTTTGGTGACACAGATAGTTTGTTTGGTGAGAACTTATTTTAATTTTACTTTTTGGTGACATGGCTTGACACATAAAGGGCTCATCAAATAAGTCCAATTGGTAAAGTTAGATGGAAAATGCCTTCAAATTTTAAAAGGGGATTGCATTCTTTTTTGGAAACTATTTGTGTATTTTATGTGAAAGTAGAAATTCCTACTTTTCTGTCGATCACAGTTTGTGTATATAAATTATTTTGTTTGTACGTTTGATGAATTATTTTTATATGTGTTAAATTGTGATATCCATAAAAGAATAGGGTTTTTTTTTCCTCAATTCTTTGCTCATAAGGCGGTTTCAATCTGGGTGGCAGAATGAAATGTTTGGTTGGTCATGTAAATAAAGTGCCATGGCACAAGACCAACTTAGGTGTGCATGGGTTTTCTTTATGCAGGTGCAGTTCGAAGGACATGTGGGGATATTGGATGTGGATGGTAAGAACTATGACTTGAAGCAGATGCACTGGCACTCTCCCTCTGAGCACCGCCTTAATGGAGTCCAGTATGTGCTCTGTCCCATTCTCTCTGTCAAATATCATCTTCTATTTTATCCGAATTGAGTGGGATACAATTATTTCTACCCATCAATTGAAAATGTGTTGTACCATCTCTCTAATAATGTTCGAACACACATTTGTGAGTCCCGCCTTAATGGAGTCCACTCGTATTAGAAAGATAGTATAACAAGAAAGTACAAAAGAGTACACTAAATAAATGTCAATGATCATTTGATTTAGTAGCACTCAGAAACGTAGCAAAATAAGTGTTTGGTTGGTTGAGAAATTTTGAGCCTAAATTAAGGTTGTGTTGCCAAGCCTGGAGGGTATATATGAAGGCAGCCCAATAATTTAAGGTCATATGTGACACAATCCTTATAATTTGAGGCGAAATTTTAGCCAGGCCCTGGAAAAACAAAATAGTCTATAAAACTTACAAGAAAAGCAGCAAAAGCTTACAGGCATTTCCTTAACTGCTACAGATTTCCAGCTGAGCTTCATCTAGTTCACCAGGCATCTGACCAGAGCGTGTCCGTTGTGTCAGTTCTCTTCCAATTCGGCAAGGATGATATACTCATCTCTAAGGTAGAGTTCTTCTCAACATGTAGTTATCTATTGTTCTTAAAGAAATTGAGTGATACTTGTTGGAGAATTGAAATGGAATGAAATGAAAATTGAAATCAAAGTTTTAAGTGATAATTAGTATTCAGGTCCTGATCCGAGTTTTGGAATCCAAGACTCGCAGCGTGCTGCTCAGCCCTAGACCTTTAGGATTTAGGGTTTAGAGTTTAGAATTCGAGTTTCGGACTTTGAATTTAAGTTCATGACTTGGTTCGAACTACGAGTGCACAACTCAAAGTTTGGGCTCTAGCAAGGGCTTGGAAGGGGTCATATACAAATGGGAAATGAATTTTCCGTCCTTCTACTTGGGGAGAATGAGATTGCTTCTTCCCAAACCATGTATGCCAATCAAAGTCACCAAACAAAGAAATTGTCATGCCATGTGAGCTTATGTTGATTCCATTACAAGTTCATTCCAATCAATCAAAACATTACATTAAGTTTGAGAAGGATATATTCTTGGGTTTAAGGATAGTAGAGAAAGATTTGATGAAACTTATCACTACAATTGGCTAATGCAGATTAAGGACAAGCTAACTGAGCTGGCCCAGGAGACGTGTAAAAAGGAAGAAGATGCTCATATTCCCCTAGGAACCGTAGATCTCAACGAGTTGCAGAAGAAGAGCCGCAAATATTTCAGATATGTTGGTTCTCTCACCGTTCCTCCATGCACCGAGAATGTCGTATGGAACATTCTTGGAAAGGTACTTACTTTGTGCGCTCGCACACACACATACATACATAAATACATATATGTATTGATACGCACCCCTAATTTGACATATTCATGCATATAGGTAAGGACCATTTCCCAGGATCAGTTAAATGCTCTGAAAGCACCATTGGATTCAGATTGCAAGAACAACTCAAGACCACTGCAGCCTCCTAATGGACGCCAAGTCGAGCTCTACGATGAGCGTAGGGACCAGTAAAATAGTCAACCTAGTTGACATTTACATCAGTTTAGTCAATTGTCATCAGCGTGAGTTGTAGTAAAAGCGAGTCTTCATAGGTCAATTGTCACTGTATTTTTGTGCTCAAACTTAAGATAGAACTAAGTAGAGGTCCAAATCGACTAATCGATGTTGAACCGTCAAAGGATGAGTTGTAGTTAGGAGAAGTACATAATCTAGAAAAGATTGTATTTTGTGTATTTTCTTTCAAAGTTGATTATATATGATTAATCCTTAACTGCTACAGATTTCCAGCTGAGCTTCATCTAGTTCACCAGGCATCTGACCAGAGCGTGTCCGTTGTGTCAGTTCTCTTCCAATTCGGCAAGGATGATATACTCATCTCTAAGGTAGAGTTCTTCTCAACATGTAGTTATCTATTGTTCTTAAAGAAATTGAGTGATACTTGTTGGAGAATTGAAATGGAATGAAATGAAAATTGAAATCAAAGTTTTAAGTGATAATTAGTATTCAGGTCCTGATCCGAGTTTTGGAATCCTAGACTCGCAGCGTGCTGCTCAGCCCTAGACCTTTAGGATTTAGGGTTTAGAGTTTAGAATTCGAGTTTCGGACTTTGAATTTAAGTTCATGACTTGGTTCGAACTACGAGTGCACAACTCAAAGTTTGGGCTCTAGCAAGGGCTTGGAAGGGGTCATATACAAATGGGAAATGAATTTTCCGTCCTTCTACTTGGGGAGAATGAGATTGCTTCTTCCCAAACCATGTATGCCAATCAAAGTCACCAAACAAAGAAATTGTCATGCCATATATGAGCTTATGTTGATTCCATTACAAGTTCATTCCAATCAATCAAAACATTACATTAAGTTTGAGAAGGATATATTCTTGGGTTTAAGGATAGTAGAGAAAGATTTGATGAAACTTATCACTACAATTGGCTAATGCAGATTAAGGACAAGCTAACTGAGCTGGCCCAGGAGACGTGTAAAAAGGAAGAAGATGCTCATATTCCCCTAGGAACCGTAGATCTCAACGAGTTGCAGAAGAAGAGCCGCAAATATTTCAGATATGTTGGTTCTCTCACCGTTCCTCCATGCACCGAGAATGTCGTATGGAACATTCTTGGAAAGGTACTTACTTTGTGCGCTCGCACACACACATACATACATAAATACATATATGTATTGATACGCACCCCTAATTTGACATATTCATGCATATAGGTAAGGACCATTTCCCAGGATCAGTTAAATGCTCTGAAAGCACCATTGGATTCAGATTGCAAGAACAACTCAAGACCACTGCAGCCTCCTAATGGACGCCAAGTCGAGCTCTACGATGAGCGTAGGGACCAGTAAAATAGTCAACCTAGTTGACATTTACATCAGTTTAGTCAATTGTCATCAGCGTGAGTTGTAGTAAAAGCGAGTCTTCATAGGTCAATTGTCACTGTATTTTTGTGCTCAAACTTAAGATAGAACTAAGTAGAGGTCCAAATCGACTTATCGATGTTGAACCGTCAAAGGATGAGTTGTAGTTAGGAGAAGTACGTAATCTAGAAAAGATTGTATTTTGTGTATTTTCTTTCAAAGTTGATTATATATGATTAATATATATGTGAATATGAAGGAATCCAGCTGAGCAGCTCATATGGATGCATTAAGTTCTTCATGAAACGTATGTGATAGGTAGGGTGATGCATTATTGGGTCAATGACTTCTATCTCTTTCAATTTGATTACATAACAAGACTAGTGATTTAAACCACTATAATTGGGTGGCTCATCTAGCTAATGACAACGACTTGCTTCATTCTTCTCCCAAATACGCGCCTTGATTAATCACATAATTAATCAACTGGATTAGTAGATCATCCATATATTTATCGCTAAACGTGCTTTTAAAAAAAAAAAGCAAAGGAAAAGAGTTGTGAATAAACCGGCACTATATTGTATAAACATCGTTGTTGTTGATGATGTTACAAAACCAAATTCTTGTCCTATAAAAGCAAGTGTTTTATTCCATTTAAGAAGGTTGTGAATACAATTGGGTTATAAAAGCACTTTTTTCTTGTTTTAATCAAATATTAATCAAATGAAAAAGGAAACAAGTACAAGAATTTTCTTTTTGTTCTTTGGTAAGTAGAAGATTCAAAATATCATTTGGGTCAAATCTAGGAGAAAACTTGGTCGCAATAGGGATAATGATGTTTTACTATTTCCATCCAATAACCCTATGCGATGTAGAAAAATTATCACGTGTGTCATAACCTTATTAGTTGGGGATAGCAAAACAATGTTATCTCCGTTTTATGTAAGTGTTTCTCCAAAACCAGGCCCAAATCAAAGCCAAAAAACCAAGAGAGAGAGGACATGTCAAGGATGGTGAAAAAACGTGTGTGAATAGGTGAATTTTTAATGTTTTGAGATCAAGTTTTTCCAAGAACATATCTTTAAATATTTAACACTAATAGAAGAGTAATATAAGGAGAGTAATTTATGGATATAGGCAGGCAAGGTGGACATTTTCAATGAGAGTGATGATCTAGTCAATATTCGAAATCGTTTACATCATAGATACAACCTTGTAGAGTCAACAACGCTTAAGTCTTCATACTTGACCAGATTCCAAAGCCAAAAACAAAGACTGATGATGGACATATCTAACTCTTTTTTTTCTTTTCTCAAGTTCATCATAATACTAACTTTCATTGTCATATGGTAGGAGTAGCTATATCTATAAAAATGCAAAAATAAATAAGGTTGTCGTACTTATTAACCAAACAACTTTAATGTCGTCAATGTAATACCCTATATTTCTATGTATTTATCATCACGTGACGAGAGATGTAGAGAACCGGAGATAAGGAGTAAAATTATCAAGCCAAAAAAATTAAAATGTATTGTATCCGCTACTAAGCATTTATCCACTTGTATTAGCGTATTGTATCCGCTACTAAAATTGCATTGATATTATCTACCTTTTTAAAATAAAAAGAAAATATTCAAATTCGAAAGGTAAGTAAGAGTCCAACTCCATCCATTGGCATTTCTAATGCGGTAGGCGAAAACTCCTTTCGTCCACTAAAAAGCCCTCAAATCAGATGCGGTCAATGCTTGACTACACTACACATGTTTGGATTTTTCCAGTGTCATAATCTATAAAAATAATAAACTAAAATAAATTATTTAATCACAATCGTTGGCGGTGGCGGAAGTATTGGTTGGCTTCGGTGGAATATAGACCGTCTAACTCACCAAATATTTTTTATTATTTTAAATCTGGGTAAATATTCTGTATTAGTTTTCTGACAATTAAAAAAAAGTAAATATTTTGTAACCCACAAATCCAAATCCAAATCCATCTCATCTCAACTCTCATCTCTGACCTATCACAATTTGGAATCTGAGTTATCCCCAAAATTGTAAATATAATTATTTTCGTTAAAATTAATGCAGACCAATTTCCATATCATTCACAAATCTAAGCTGAATTTGTTTCTGGTTTTCTCCAAAACATTATTATCCAAAATTACAAGCAGATTTACAACTTCTCACTCCAAAAAACATATCTATTTACACAACCTCATTCTCTAATGAACTGGAGAATAAAAATGAAACGGAAAAAAGAAAAAAAAAAACGAAAAACGTAGAAAACGGTAGGCAAAATATATCTTTTACCTCTAACCCCGGTGGAGGGAAACCGTTATTCAACGCGCCACGTCATCCAACGACAATTTAAACAGGGCGAAGGCGGTCCCACATAGACTACCATTCACGACCTTAACAACCCCATTGCTTCCTTTGCTTCCTGGCTGTGGGCCCACTGCTCGCCGTCGGATCAAGAAACCTCGATTCCGAACGTGACTAGATTTACGCAACGTCGATACCGGCTTCGCCCACCCACGACCCGGACTTCCGACCCGAAACGAAGCGCTTCATACCGCCCAAACTGGGCGGTTCGCTCTCCACGCTTTGTCTCGGAAGCGAGTCGATGGACAGCGTGTCGAAATCGTAAGCCGCCGACCGGTCACGCGCTCTCCCCGACATCACGCTGCTGTGTCTCGGAGGCGAGTCCGCCGTCGCGTAGGGCGATTTGGCCGACTTGTCTCGGTGACCGTGCCGAAACATCGCCCGAAAACTCGCGAAGAAGCCGGTTTTTCGTCTCTGCTCCGGCTTGATGGCCTTCTCCATGGACGACTCGGCCGACGGCCTCTGCCGATTCCGAAACCGGCGCTTCCGATCCCTCTTTGATCTCACCCTTCCCATACACGAGACCTTCGGAGACGACGGTTCGATCATGGGAGCGTCCGATTTCCCGACCGATCCGGAGCGTTTGGGAAACAGTCTAGTGTTTCCTGCCTTGCAATTCCTCCGATTCTTAGTGTCGACGTAGTTGTGCTTCTGCGGCTTCGGTAGGCCGATAATCGCAGCCTTGGACTTCAAGTTCAGTGAAAACCTCTGAGAGTTGGAATTGGAGTGATTCGGATTCGGATTCAAGTTATTGGAGTTGGAGTTTCCTTTCGTGGAGTCTTTGCGCTCGTAGAAGGCGTTACGATCGAACCAATCGTACTCGGCGTCTTTCGAGAGCCAGAAGGATTCCGGAGGGAAATCCGGCGGCACCGCCAGTTCGTCGGCGTTGTCCTCCTCCGGTCGGTCTTGGCCGCCGGTGATGGCGTCGGCCTGCGTCTCACAGGCAATTTTTCGATCCATTGAGCCGCCCGCACACGCCGATACTAGGGTTTCCAAATCGACTTGTGGCATAGCGTGGAAAAATTAAGCTGAAATGAAGCAAATGAGAGAGAGAGAGAGAGAGAAGGCTGAGGAGGAAGTTGGGGAAAGAGGAGGAGGGTTTTATAAGAGAGGGAGAAATAAGATTTTATTTCTTTATTTACTTGATTTTATTTTATTTTTGGTTGAGATAATGGCTTTCGTTTCAACTTGTTGACTCGTGTGCTTTGGAAACAATCGTTTTTTTCTACAGAGAGAGAGAGAGAGAGAGAGAGAGACGGAAAAGGGCAAAAGTGGGAAGGAAAAAAATATGTTTCTTTCGTCAAAAGAATACGAAAGCAGGTGGTACAAAACGCTGATTTGGTTTACGCACTCGCTGATTGTCGATTTCTTGATTCTTTTCTTTTCTTTCTTTCTAATTAATAGTTGTTTTCCTTTCATTAGTTTTGGCTCGGCTTTTACGATGGCTTGGCTCTTGAAAAACCAAGCTTGTTTTAGAGATATAGAATCAAATTAACCTTTTCTTTTTCTTTGTTTAGTTCTTGTGTAATTGTTGATTGGAAAAGAAACAAACCCTCAAGTTCGTTTGCCCACATGCAAAGGTTAACATTCAATAAAACCGAAAACATAAAGCATACTCCTACCATAAAGTGCGTAAATTATTGGATTTACATCTAATAATATGTCTGAAGTTAATTGTGTATCTAATTAAACTAAACTGTCTTCTTTTAGAGCTCGTTTGGGAGTTATTCTTGATAGATCAAAAAGCACTACTATGGAGAATCACCTAAAGTAATTATATGGAGAAGCATATGGAAAGTGGTTCTCCTCAGAAGTGATTTTGGCCTATCCATAATCAATCCTAAACGAGCTCTTAGTCCAACTTTTAGTGCACCCAACTTATAATTGTTAACAAACTGGATTTTAACTCGTGGTATTTCTCTTTCTCATTATTGGAAAAAGTTACATGTTTAAATCTGTTTTCCTCCTATTAATTACAAAAAATATAATAAGGGTCTTGTACCCAAAAAAAAGAGAGCAGATTTTGGATTAATGTGAAAAGTATACCGAAATAGTCCATTCAAATTAAAATTAATTTTCAAATAATTCATGACTATTTAGTCAAAACAATAATAATTTATATTTATAGTAGTTTATTCGGTCTGAGGAATTTAGGGGTTGAATTGGGAATTAGTGACCAAATTGAAAAGCTTGTTTGACCTTAATTTTGATAAGTCACCTTATCTTGATAAATTTTACGAGAGAACCAGGTAGCCAGAGCCGTGTATGGTGGTGGCTGGAGCCATGAGAGAGAAAGAGAGAAAATGGCGTGAGAGAGAGGGGTTTCACAGGTAAAAATCATATTCAGGATTACCTTATGTGTGTGATGTAGTCATGTATTCATAGTGCTCCTTGTTAGCTAGGGTTTGAAAAATAATCCTTAAGGATTAGTATTACCGAAAATTGGAATTAATAATTCGATGGAAATCTCATCCTTGATTTAGGGAGATATTCATATCTTAAATCAATTATAATTCCCCTAATTAAATATAATTAATCGATCTAAGAAATTTCCATTTTCCATGTGTCACCCGCTTATTGGTCATCGAAATATTTGCTCTCACACAAGTGTTATAATATGAGTCGACGACATAGTTTATTTTTCTCCTTTTAGGGAATAGTATAAATAATTCACTTATATTATAACACATGAACAAAATGTATCATGTAACCATACTACTGTAGTATTCTATAATTACTCAATGAATTGGTAACACGACGTGACGTTGTGACCATCACATAGAAGAATTACTCCTTTTATCTTCCTTATGGCCACTGGTTTTGTTTCTATTAATTATCCATTTGTTATAAGTTCATGAGATATGTATTTGTTACGTATGCGTTTTTAATTTGTCTCTTTTTTACTTTACGTGTGTTTTCTCTAAATGACAACATATTACTTTGTGTGATTTGAGTGAGTGAGAACTTTACAGACGACATATCTATCATTTCTACTAAAACTTTTCCATTGGTTTGCGATCCTGTCTTATTTTTCTAATAATTTGTAATTTATATTCAAATCTTTGGATCTGAAATTCAAATCTAAATCGAAATCTTTCAAGGCCAAACGTAACCCCAGCTTACATATATATACGACCGCACCACACTAGCTAGGTTGGCCACTATCTGAAATATAACATATAAAGTTTAATTGGTGAACTATAAATATAAATGAATTTGTTCTAACAAGTTTCCTTCATTGGACCATGACCCTAGCTACCATGAATAAAAATCAGAGTCCTAATGTTTGAAAAATGGATACTCTTTTATCTTGGGTGGACTTTATGAGAACTATATGAATTTCTTATAAATAATTTGATCTTCTCATAATTCAAATGAGAAGAAAAGTAAATGCAAACATATTGCTTTTTCTTGTTATATTGGAGGAAAGAAATTCCACTACCACTGTAGTGGGAACCCATTGGCCAATCACATTGCTTTCAAAGACTTAATAGGCCACAAAAATGAGAAAATATAACCACATTGTGGTTTGTAGAAAATGCACACTCACTAGGAAATCTAACATGGTGCCAAAAAAAATCCCAAAAAAATTAAAATGTATTGTATCCGCTACTAAGCATTTATCCACTTGTATTAGCGTATTGTATCCGCTACTAAAATTGCATTGATATTATCTACCTTTTTAAAATAAAAAGAAAATATTCAAATTCGAAAGGTAAGTAAGAGTCCAACTCCATCCATTGGCATTTCTAATGCGGTAGGCGAAAACTCCTTTCGTCCACTAAAAAGCCCTCAAATCAGATGCGGTCAATGCATGACTACACTACACATGTTTGGATTTTTCCAGTGTCATAATCTATAAAAATAATAAACTAAAATAAATTATTTAATCACAATCGTTGGCGGTGGCGGAAGTATTGGTTGGCTTCGGTGGAATATAGACCGTCTAACTCACCAAATATTTTTTATTATTTTAAATCTGGGTAAATATTCTGTATTAGTTTTCTGACAATTAAAAAAAAGTAAATATTTTGTAACCCACAAATCCAAATCCAAATCCATCTCATCTCAACTCTCATCTCTGACCTATCACAATTTGGAATCTGAGTTATCCCCAAAATTGTAAATATAATTATTTTCGTTAAAATTAATGCAGACCAATTTCCATATCATTCACAAATCTAAGCTGAATTTGTTTCTGGTTTTCTCCAAAACATTATTATCCAAAATTACAAGCAGATTTACAACTTCTCACTCCAAAAAACATATCTATTTACACAACCTCATTCTCTAATGAACTGGAGAATAAAAATGAAACGGAAAAAAGAAAAAAAAAACGAAAAACGTAGAAAACGGTAGGCAAAATATATCTTTTACCTCTAACCCCGGTGGAGGGAAACCGTTATTCAACGCGCCACGTCATCCAACGACAATTTAAACAGGGCGAAGGCGGTCCCACATAGACTACCATTCACGACCTTAACAACCCCATTGCTTCCTTTGCTTCCTGGCTGTGGGCCCACTGCTCGCCGTCGGATCAAGAAACCTCGATTCCGAACGTGACTAGATTTACGCAACGTCGATACCGGCTTCGCCCACCCACGACCCGGACTTCCGACCCGAAACGAAGCGCTTCATACCGCCCAAACTGGGCGGTTCGCTCTCCACGCTTTGTCTCGGAAGCGAGTCGATGGACAGCGTGTCGAAATCGTAAGCCGCCGACCGGTCACGCGCTCTCCCCGACATCACGCTGCTGTGTCTCGGAGGCGAGTCCGCCGTCGCGTAGGGCGATTTGGCCGACTTGTCTCGGTGACCGTGCCGAAACATCGCCCGAAAACTCGCGAAGAAGCCGGTTTTTCGTCTCTGCTCCGGCTTGATGGCCTTCTCCATGGACGACTCGGCCGACGGCCTCTGCCGATTCCGAAACCGGCGCTTCCGATCCCTCTTTGATCTCACCCTTCCCATACACGAGACCTTCGGAGACGACGGTTCGATCATGGGAGCGTCCGATTTCCCGACCGATCCGGAGCGTTTGGGAAACAGTCTAGTGTTTCCTGCCTTGCAATTCCTCCGATTCTTAGTGTCGACGTAGTTGTGCTTCTGCGGCTTCGGTAGGCCGATAATCGCAGCCTTGGACTTCAAGTTCAGTGAAAACCTCTGAGAGTTGGAATTGGAGTGATTCGGATTCGGATTCAAGTTATTGGAGTTGGAGTTTCCTTTCGTGGAGTCTTTGCGCTCGTAGAAGGCGTTACGATCGAACCAATCGTACTCGGCGTCTTTCGAGAGCCAGAAGGATTCCGGAGGGAAATCCGGCGGCACCGCCAGTTCGTCGGCGTTGTCCTCCTCCGGTCGGTCTTGGCCGCCGGTGATGGCGTCGGCCTGCGTCTCACAGGCAATTTTTCGATCCATTGAGCCGCCCGCACACGCCGATACTAGGGTTTCCAAATCGACTTGTGGCATAGCGTGGAAAAATTAAGCTGAAATGAAGCAAATGAGAGAGAGAGAGAGAGAGAAGGCTGAGGAGGAAGTTGGGGAAAGAGGAGGAGGGTTTTATAAGAGAGGGAGAAATAAGATTTTATTTCTTTATTTACTTGATTTTATTTTATTTTTGGTTGAGATAATGGCTTTCGTTTCAACTTGTTGACTCGTGTGCTTTGGAAACAATCGTTTTTTTCTACAGAGAGAGAGAGAGAGAGAGAGAGAGACGGAAAAGGGCAAAAGTGGGAAGGAAAAAAATATGTTTCTTTCGTCAAAAGAATACGAAAGCAGGTGGTACAAAACGCTGATTTGGTTTACGCACTCGCTGATTGTCGATTTCTTGATTCTTTTCTTTTCTTTCTTTCTAATTAATAGTTGTTTTCCTTTCATTAGTTTTGGCTCGGCTTTTACGATGGCTTGGCTCTTGAAAAACCAAGCTTGTTTTAGAGATATAGAATCAAATTAACCTTTTCTTTTTCTTTGTTTAGTTCTTGTGTAATTGTTGATTGGAAAAGAAACAAACCCTCAAGTTCGTTTGCCCACATGCAAAGGTTAACATTCAATAAAACCGAAAACATAAAGCATACTCCTACCATAAAGTGCGTAAATTATTGGATTTACATCTAATAATATGTCTGAAGTTAATTGTGTATCTAATTAAACTAAACTGTCTTCTTT